CACAGGAGCTGGTGCTGTTAAAGGGCCAGGGCATCAGTGCTGGAAATTCCTCTATCCCTACCCAGCTGGGTCCTTTTACCCCAGAGGGCAGCTCTGTTCTGGAACCAGGAGGGACGGAAGGCACCTCCTCTGCTCACAGTAAGAGTTGAAGGGAGCAGAGGGGCCAGGGACCAGACTGGGGCTCAGAGTGAACCTCTGGCCGGGCATGGTGGTATCTGCCTGTAAACCCCAAAACTCTGGAGACTGAGGCAGGAGGATCTTGGGTTCAAAGCCAACCTGAGCTACATGGGAAGTAAAGATGAGTGGATTACACAGCGAGACCCTGCCTCAGAAAGGAAAAAGGAAGAAAGAGACGGAGGGAGGGCCTGGCCCACGGGCACTGTGAGCAAAGAGAGTGGGTTCTAGAGACCCCGGGTGACCTGTCTGCCCCCTGGGCCCCCAAATGCCAAGGGGCAAAGCAGGGCCGCGTTACTCAGCAATCGCCTGTCGGCGCTCAGCTCCCGAAAGACGAGTAGCTTCCAAGGCAATGACTGAGGCGGAGGTCGAAGGGCTAGAAATGCCTAGCTCCTGCGCCTGGGCCCTGGTGCGTGCGCAGCCCAGCCCCGTGCTGTCTCCTGCCCCTTCCCGGCCTGGGAGCCCACAGTGCCGGTCCAGCCACCCGAAGCAGCAGACACTGATCTTTAACCCGGCTTCCCACAGCCTCTTGCTCGGTCTCTGCTTGGATCTGGCTCCGGAAGCCTCGTGGTTCTTCACAGGGGCACCTGTCCACTCCCGTGTCTGGAGCGACTGTCACCCTCGCCCGGTGGGACACAGACGCACAAGGCGAACCCAGGCCACAGCAGAGGCGGGGCGGCCAGCAGCCCAAGCCAGGGTCCCGCGAAGGCTGCCGGACTCGTTCTCTAAAGTGAGGAGCCCAGTGGGCTGCTGGTGGGGACACCAGGAGGGACCCAGACAGACAAACAGCACCCGCGAACACCAGGCCCTGGTAAGGGGTCCGGGAGGAGGCAGAGAAGGTGGGTGGCCACCCCAGCAGCGGCTCCGGGTGGAATGGGGCCAGGGGAGATGAGCAGCAGCCCAAGGGAGGAGACCCCAGGACAGGATGGCCCAGGGCCCCACTTCCGGTCCTGCGCGCCGGGGTCCGCGCCAGGGTCCGCGCCGGGGTCCGTGCAGGACGTGACAGTGTGCAGGCGCTTCCTGTTTCCCAGCACCTGGCACAGCCACTGTCTTGGCGTGGGCCCATCCCCATTCTCCAGGGATGCAGCAGCGCCAGCCTCAGTCTGGGCACGGGCACTGAGCTCAGGCTGCGTCCTTCCCAGGACACTGCTCAGCCCTCTGCCCTCGGCGGCGTCTGCTCGCTTAGCAGCTGGGGAGACTGAGGCCGGGCAACCCATGCCCAGGGTCTCGCTGTGCCGACCCGGCCAAGAGCTTTGGAGGTCCTGCCGACTCCCTGCTTTCCGCCACAGAGCAGGGACGGTGGCCTCTGAGCCCCAGGCTGGCCTCTTTTGGGCAGAGAGTACTAAAGATCGAGCCCAGGGCCTCCGCACTGAGCGGCATCTGGCCCTTTTCAAGTTTTATTCTGAGACAGGGTCTTGCTGAGTCACTGAGTTGCTCGGGCTGGGCTGGAACTTGCCATCTTCCTGCCTCAGCCTCCCAGGGTGCTGGGATGACGGGCGTGGCCCTCCGTGCCCAGCCAGGCCAGCCTCTGCGACCGGCCAGGTTGGCTGGGAGCTCACCCCCACCCACCGCATCCCCGGGGCACAGAAGGATTCGTCTCTGCCGGTGCCCTGATTTATGGGCCACTTTGTTCTTTATCTGTTTGCACAAACGCGGGGCTGCGACCTGCTCCATCCCAGGGGGCAGAGCGGCGTCGGCACCTCGAGGTCACAGGTCATCGTCGCTTGCCCGGGGTAGAAGGGGTCACAGGAGGTCACCAGGGGCCGGGCGCAGGCCAGGGTTGCTCAGGCCAGCGTGGCCTCCCCGGGACTGAGGCAGCCA